TAGTGCCACCGCAGAAACGTGACGACTGTGCAAAAATAACTACATAAAAGACACCACTGTTACAGAAAGACTTTACACGCTATTTAAACTGCCGATCGCGAACGGAACAAACCGTGATTGAAACTAACTGTGATGCCGCTCTTTATTCGTTGCGCTAACTGTCGCCTGTCAGTGGCAGACCCGCCCATTTTAAAGCGCCAGCTTAATCCATCAATATGCGTTTCACTGGATGGAATTTATTTGATTCCTTCGTGGTTTTTGCGTACCACTTTATACCTGTGGACAAGGGATTCGAGGCTCTAATCCACAGGTGTCGAAGTTCGGTCCTCGAGGGCCGGTGTCCTGCATGTTTTCCATCCCTCCCTGCTGCAACACACCTGATTCAAATGATCAGGATCACTATCAGGCTTGCTGATGAACTGATCATTTGAATCAGGTGTGTTGCAGCAGGGAGGGATGGAAAACATGCAGGACACCGGCCCTCGAGGACCGGACTTTGACACCTGTGCTCTAATCCCTCATTGTGTCCGAGGACCGGCAACCCGAGGCCAAGGCCAAGGCCAAGGAATTGACTCCCAAGGCCAAGGCCAAGGACCAAGGACCGACCTTCGGTCCTCGAGCCGGTCCTCGAGGCCAAGGACCGGCTCGAGGAACACATCCCTGGTTGATACTGAGGACAAATTTGATACCACATACTGTATATTTACGTTGGGCATGGACACTCAGTGGAATAGTTTCATTTTCATAATTATTGTTCTTATTTTTTTTAAGTAATGAGACATGTACTTTAATTTATGTTCATAATATTTGCAATAATGTCAACCTTAAAATAGCTCGATAAACTCTGTTGCTCTAATACCCCAATCTAAAAAAATATACTCCACTTTTGAACAATATTTCACCAACTGTATTGCACCACCTTTGTAACCATTCAGAAACTTTTATAATGATAAAAATAGAGATTCTAGAAACTCAAATGGTGGACAATAAGAAACTAGACCGGCACAATTGTTAAAGCCCATTGTAGAGCTATTGCCATGCTCTAATTATAGAGGATAACTGAACTTTCCCACAAGAGGATTTGAGCGCACGAACAATTGTACATCGTTATAACTTGGCTTGCACTCAAAATTA